TACACAATATTATACTACACAATACAATATTACATAATTGAAAACGAACGACCACTTTGACTCGGAGTATTTTCAAAAAGCCACTTTGCAAAAATCAACAATTATTATAATTGAACCAGTTTCCGTAGGACTTTAATGGTTTATTAATACCAAGTACTCTGTCGTTATACCAAGTAAATCGTCTAATTTTAATTTTAACAAATGCAAAAAAAAACTACTCATTTTCTCAAACTTTGATGAATTTTTAAAATTAAACTACTTGTCGCAGGACCGTAATATTTCAGTAAGTTCTATAAGACCATTATATATATCGCCAAAAAAAAGTTTCATAAAAATTGTCTTAAATTTTTTAAATTAAGTTTAAATTTAAATTAAATTTAAAGTTTTTGATTTTTTTAAATCGTTTGGTAGTGCGAGCTTAAATGTGGACGAAAAGTTTAACACTTTTTCGAAAATTCAAAGAAACGGCTTGGCTCGCCAATTTAACATATTGCTGGTGTATTTTTAAGAATGTGATTAATTTACTCGCCAGTCAAGTTGTTTTTTACTCATCAATTTTCCAGAATTCTTGTTCAGTTCATTATTTTGTTCAGTAAAGTTGTTTTTTTGCTGATTTTAATATGCTCGTTAGTAAGGTCCTTTATTTATCACAAATAAGTGCTTTTAATTTAATATTTTACTCATGTTTTCTTCAAGATTCTAATTAATTTGCCTGTTAGTAGAGTTATTTCTTTTTCGGCAAAAGCTGCATCTAATTTAATGTTTATTCATCAATTCTTCAAAATTCTTATTACTTTGCGCGTCAGTAGAGTTATTTCATAATTGACCTATGTAACTAATTAGTTACAAAACTCAATTATGATATAATTGTTTTTTTAATGCTATATTATAATATAGTATTAAAAAAACGGTTGAATTATAATAAAATCATAATTCGAACATACACCACGTATGTCCTTTTAAAAAATTAAAAATAGGGAAATTAATTATTACTAATTAAATCGATTATTTATACATATCAGGAATATGCAACTTGCCTTAATGCAAAAAATTAAATTAGAACTTTCTTACATCTTACCTTTCATTTTTATTATCATTTCACAAAATTACACAAATAGCACAACGATTATTCAAGAACAATATTCGAGAGCGTTATAAATTTTTTTTTAGAAAAAATGCAAAACATATGACGACGATGATGATTAATAATCTTATCGGAATAAGATAAGATATTCAATATAATAATCTTTGAATTTTTTCGCGAATTCAATATCTATTCATGATATTTTGATATAAAAATATCAAGGCGGCAAAAAACAGTTTGGGAGGCATTGGTGGTCGTTATGGGGCCACTTTCAATAAAGTGGGTGAAATTTTGATGTTCGTAATTTGAAAATACAATTAACTCCACATTTTCACTGTACTACCATAAATCCCTATGTCATAATAATAATTTTATTAGTCCAACCATTTTTCATATATTTTATTTATTTATTTATTCATAAGCAAGCCGTAATAAATAATAATAAATGTTATTTGGAATGGAACGTTTTTCTTTGAATTTTGATCATAATTTTTCTGAGCTTATGGATAAACTTAAATCCGCTCTATCCGCTGACAAACATTTTTAAAACAATTCTTAAATATTAGCGACGGTAAGGTTATCGATCGATTCTTGCATAATCTGAGAGTAAAAATAATTAAATCTGAAGATACAACATTTTTTGAGAGGTATTAGGTTCCATACCAATCTATGGCAAAGCTGTAAATTTTTCCACAGAGTTTTTGAAATCACATTTGATTTGTTAGACTACCTTTATAAGGCATGCGTTGCAGTGGGTAAACCATTTATTTAATTTGTGTTAGCTACCTCTTGGACTTACATACCACATAATTCCATATTCACAATCAGTTTAGTTATTTAGTTTATGCCGGGCCAGCTAGTATATATATGTACAAATAAAACAAATCGTCCATTTACATAAAATATATATTTCGTTTATCCACGCCAAAAATAAATATTCCTGAAGGCTGAATAAAAATCAAAACTTAAAATCTATATCACAATAAAACAAATAAATGTCGTGGAAAATGTTATTAAATATCATTCTTGTCCTTAAATTAGTGGCAGTTAAATTTCTTTCGGCGGCTTCGTAGAAGTTGTCGTTGAGGTTCTCCTAGAAAGAAAAAAATACAACATGAGTACTTAAAATTAATATAGAATAAATAAATTAAAGTAAGTGAATAATAAATTAAAGCAAAGATAGATTGAAGTGAAACTTCGTAATGCGTAAATGATAAAAGGAAGGGGTGGAAATTGATTTTTAAGACAAAATTCACATCCATTCCAGTTAGACTCACTGTTTTCTTAAAAAATCTAACATTTTTAAATTATTTGCAACATTTTCGTACATGCTTTAACATTTTGAGACAATCTACAACATTTTCAGACAGTTTATAACATTTTCAATTAATTTACAACAGTGTCAAACATTACACAAGTATATGAGACAATTTTCAACATTCTCAGACATTTTGCAAAGTTTTCGAATAACTTAATTGCTACATTCCAGACATACCACAACATTATCCGCAATATTTATAAATAATTTTCAACATTTTTAGCCTATTTACAACATTCTCGCAAACTCCACAACATTTTCAGACAGTATAATAACAATTTCAGACAAATTCAATTTACAACATTTTCAGACATTCTGCAATATACAATTAGGTAAAATGCAACATTTTGAAACAATTTACGACATTTAGACTACTTATAACATTCTCAGACACTTGATAACATTTTAAGAAATTAGAATTTATTATTAAATTAACATTTATTAATAAATTAGCATTTTTAGAAATTCCTAAAGATTTTCAGACACTCCACAACAATCTCAAGCACACCACAACATTTTCAGACACTCGACAATAATCTTAGACACCCAACAATAGTCTTAGACAATTTGCAATATTAGACAATTTATAAAGTTTTCAGATAATTAGCAATATCTTTAGACAATCTATAAAATTTTCAGATATTTTGCAACATTTTTTAACAATCGGCAGCATTATCAGACATTCTACAACATTTTTAAACAATTTACAACAATTTCATAAAGCCTACAACAATTCCCACAATTATTCCACAATATTTTTTATATACAACATTTTTAGACACTTTACCAGACACTCCACAACATTTTCAGACATTCCACAACAATCTCAAGCACTCGACAACATTCTCAAGCACTCAACAACATTCTCAGACACTCGACAACACTCTCGGACAATGCACAACATTCTCAGTAACTCCACAATATTTTCAGACACTCAACAACATTTTCGGACACTCCACAACATTCTTAGACTCTCCACAACATTTTCAGTAACTCAACAACATTTTCAGACACTCCACAACATTCTTAGACTCTCCACAACATTTCCGGACAATCTACAACATTGTCAGAGAATCTATAACATTTTCACACACTGCACAACATTGTCAAGTCCTTGACAACATTCTCTGACACTCAGCAACATTTTCAAACATTCTACAGAATGTTCAGGCATTCTATAATGTTCTCAAACACTCTACAACATTCTAAGATACTCCACAACATTTTCAGATGCTCCCCAATATTTTAAAATAATCCATAACATTTGAGAGACTCCACTACATTCTCAGACACTCGGCAACATTAGCAGATAATTTATAACATTTTCAGACAATATACATTTTTCAACATTTTGAAAAAAACTTACATTATTTTCAAACTAGCTACAAAAATTTTAGCTTATTTAAAAAAATTTCAGTCTACAACAATTTAACGCATTCTACAAAATTCGACACACCAAAAAAAAACCGAATTGCTAGTTTTATGTTTTCTCGACGTTTCAATCCATTCTGAATCGAATGAGATCAAATTTGGATGTGTGTGTGTGTGTGTGTGTGTGTGTGAACAGATTTTTTGCCGTAAGTCGACGTTATCTCAAAAACGGCTGGTTCGATTTCAAAAATTTAAAAGGCATTTGATGTATCTCGATGAGGACTATTGTTTGCTAGTTTTGTGCGACGATCTGCCAAGCCGTTTCTTTGTAATTTGGAAAAAAGTCTTAAACTTTTCGTCCACATTTAAGCTCATACTACCGAATCGATTTTAAAAAATCAAAAACTGTTAGAAAGATATTAGTTGGGAATGATACAAATTAGTTTTAGGCGAAAATCTACCGAGCTTCTTGTAATTAACAGTTGAAAAAAAAAATTTAGGCCTATTTTTATGGAACTTTTTTTTGGCGATATATATCATGGTCTTATAAAACTTACTGAATTATTACGGCCTTACGACAAGTAGTTTGATTTTAAAAATTCATCAAAGTTTGAGAAAATGAGAAGTTCTTTTGACATTTGTTAAAATTAAAATTAGACGATTTACTTGGTATAACAATATAGTACTTGGTATTAATAAACCATTAAAGTCCTACGGAAACTGGTTCAAATATAAAAATCGAAAATTTGCTTCAAGAAAATACTCCGAGTCAAAGTGTTCGTTCGTGTTCAATTATGTGCAATAAATCCACTCGGAATACTTTTAATCACTCATAAATTAGTTTATTTTTTATTGATTAAGTCGATTATTTACACATATCAGGAAGTTCATGTAACTTGCCTCAAGGCTAAATACCAATACCAACTAATTATAATTGTATTGACGCAAATTGTAAATATTGAATTTAAATAAAGTATCTATCTATTAATTACAATTTTCACTTACCATCGACAACAAGTCAACCATTTCCTCATTCGCGTTCTCATTAAACGACTCAATCAGTTCGTATTGCATTAGGGAATTTGTCTATTCTGTTGATCCTGGGGCTTGGGGGGGCCAAATGCAAAACCGTCATTGCTCTCACCCGGGTGCTTATTATACTTCCAACCGAGACCATCATCGTCCATAACAGTCTCCTGATACTCCTGAATCAGATAATTAGAACCATTACCATCCTTTATCTGCTGAATCTGGCCAATCGGAGACATGTTCTGGGATACTAGAGTTAAATATTGGTCGAAATTGCTGATGTCGTAGATTTGGTGGTTGTTGGTGTTTTGGCTGTTGTTGTTTACGGTGTCCTCTTGGGGTTCTACGACGGGTTCCTGGTTGAGAACCTTGTTGGAGGAGGACAAGTGGGGTCTTTTGAAGGATCTTATCTCGTCTTTGGTGAGGATGCGGGCGCAGAATTTGTCGGTGGTCGTTGGAACGATCTGGGAAAAAATAATTGGGAATTAGTA